GAAGGGCCAGCAGCACGTCGGTGTGCAGCGTGCGCTCGTGGGCCTCGTCCACCATAACAGCAGCATATTGCTGCAGCAGCGGATCGCCAATAAACTCCCGCAGCAGCATGCCATCCGTCATGTACTTCAGCTGCGTCTTCGCGCTGCTGCAGTCTTCAAAACGAATCGTGTAGCCCACCTGCAGCAGCAGCAGCAGCAGCAGCAGCAGCAGCAAAGGCGGCCAGTGGGAGGTGCGATTTCCCTCTGCGCAGCCACAGGGGTCGGCGCTGGCCATATCGCAGGCAGCTACAGCTAGCTAGCTAGCTAGCTCGTTGGCTAGCTAACTAGCTAACTAGCTAGCTAGCTAGCTAGCTAGCTAGCTAGCTAGCTAGCCGGTTGGCCAGCTAGCTAGCTAAACTGACAGATCAGGAGCTAGCTATACCTTCACTAGCTAGCTGCCCATCTATCTGGCTATCTATCTATCTCGCCGTCTAGCTAGCTGTCTGGCTGGCCTTCTAGCTAGCTAGCTGTCTAGCTAGCTATCTAGCTAGCCATCTAGCTGCCTGTCTAGCTAGCTATCCAGCTAGCCATGTAGCTAGCTGTCCAACTAGCTGTCTAGCTAGCTAGCTGTCTAGATAGCTAGCTGTCTAGCTAGCTAGCCACCTAGCTAGCTATCTACCTCTAGAGCCAGCCCTCGCCTCTGCCCGTAAACTCTCCTCACACTCTGCTGCTGTCCAAGCAGCACCAGCTGCAGCAGCAGCTGCAGCAGCTGCAGCAGCAAGTCAGTGCATGCCCTCTAGCCACATCCCTAGCTAGCTAGCTAGCTAGCTAGCTAGCTAGCCAGCTACCAATGTAGCTAGCTAGCTAGCTAGCCAGCTGTCAATCTAGCTAGCTAGCTAGCTACCCTACGCTCCCAGCTAGCTAGCTAGCTAGCTTGCGAGCTATCTACCTAGCTATCTATCGCCCCAGCGAGCCAGCCACCTCGCCAGCTAGCTAGCTGGCTAGCTAGCTAGCTAGCCAACTACGCATCGCCCTGGTGAGCTAGCTAGCTGGATTTTTTCCTCACCTCCGCCCCAAGTCTTTCCCCACACTCTGCTGCTACTCGAGCAGCAACAGCCATCGCAGCAAGCCTTCGGGGCTGCGTGCATGCAACCATTCCAGCTTTTGCATATCCCACTTCGCGCAGAAACTGCGGCAGCTGCGTCGTCTTGCCGGAGCCGGTGGCGCCCACCACCACCAGCACGCGGTGCTGCGCCAC